GCAGAGATGGAAGGGGCGGCTAAGCTCGACCTACTACCGCTTACAGTGGATCTTGCTTCCGGAATGTAAACTCCTCCTGCTTTGCTCCCGCTATCACTCCCTGCTGACGTTTCAGCTGCAAATCCTACTACTCCCTCTCTTCCTCCTTCTCCTCCTGCTCCTCCTCCTCCTCCTCCTCCTCCTCCTCCTCCTCCTCCTCCTCCTCCTCCCAGTCCCACAATTCCACCTGGTACTAACACTGTTCCTGTAGCCCCTGATTCTGCACCTTTTTCTTTTTTACATGCTGCCCCACTTGTTCCCGCTTCAGAAAACCTTTGAGGTGCCGCGAAGCTCGCTGCTACCACCCCCTTACTTGTTCCCTCTCCAAACAGCCTTTGAGGCACAGCAAATGTCACTGCTCTGTCCCTGATTAATCCCTCTCCCTGCTGCAGTGTCTGATCCATAGCCTCTCCCATCAATCCTTCTCCTGCAGACTCTTCACCATATTCTACCTCCTTCCCTGTCCCTTCACAACTCCTAGTACTACTGCCCTTCCTAACCTGCCTTACCAGCCCATGATGTGTTTGCACTCTCATGCCGATTCCTCCACCATCCACCCCTGCATCCCTCCCTGCTGCTTCCATCCTAGGCGTTGCTCCTAAAAGCTTTACGGAATCAGAACCTACTACCCCTCCCCTTTTCTGAATATGCCTCGGGAAGTTAAGCTTTGCCTTTGATCCTCGGATACTCAAAGCAGCTTCATCAAACGCGCGAGCGGCCTCCTCTGTGGAAGGAAACGTACCCAGCCACCTGCGGAACCCAGCCTTGGTGTCTTTAATCTCTGCAACGTAATGAAATTCCCCGCGCTTCCTCACTCCCCGGTACCGCCCTGGCTGGTTGTAGTTGCTGCTGCGTGCCATTCTGGTGCGTCTGGGTAAACGCTCTGGTGGCCCTGATGGGCCTGATTGCTCTTATAACCCTGATGTCCTTGGTTGCTCTAATGGCCCTGTTGGCTCTGCACCAGCGGCAGCCTAACCTTGTTCTAGTGCTTGCGACAAGTGTGGCTGTAGCAGCGGCTGTAGCTGGGAGGAGAGCTGTTGGATCCGGTGTGGTGATAGCTGCTCTGTCTGAGCCTGTATCTGTGCTTGTAGCTGAGCATGTAACTGCAGCTGTAGCTGAGCCTGTATCTGTGCCTGTAGCTGTGGCTGTGGCTGAGCCTGTAGCTGAGACTATAGCTGACCTTGTAGCTGAGACTCTAGCTGAGACTGTAGCTGAGCCTGTAGCTGAGACTGTAACTGTGGCTGTAGCTGAGCCTTTACATGTTGCTGTGGATTAGCCTGTGGCTGAGACTGTAGCTGAGCCTCAGGCTGTAGCTGTGGCTGTGGCTGTTGTCATCACCAAAATTGCGTGGTCCCCAATCTGTCCCGAAACCATTCTGTCCCAGAACAGACACAAATCCGTCCCGAAACTATCTTGAAAGACACTTTCGGGACATTTTCGTGTTCAGGCGGTTTTGCCCTACATTTCAACATGTCCCAAAACTGACTTGTGCCGTAATCTGCCCAGGCCTGGGAAGGTTAGAACTGCAACGCGATCAGAAGACGCAGGTTCGATGCCCGTCGATGTCAGTTCCATTGCGTTGGGTGTAGATTTTGTTTATGATTTTCGTTCGTGTTGTACCCTTCTGGAATATTTCGTTATGAAATATAAGTACACCACAATGTTGGTGGTAATCATAATTCCACAATGTTACCAGTAGTTGTTTGTTACAAAAACTGGCACTCACAACAAGTACAACAAAACAAAATATTGCATTCGTGATTAGCATCAGGTACCTGATCGGGAATCGAATTCTGCACCTTCAGATATTATCGGAAGTACAAGACCACTGCGATAAGAGCTAACGGGGATTTTATTGACCTAAATTTTGTCGGCGACTTCGCTAAGGAGTTCGTTCAAAAAAACGCATCCTGATCCCTGATCCGAACAACGTTGCACCTGTCATGCAAACAACGTGGCACCTGCCAACTGCAACAAAATCGCCACCTGCACTGGATAATAGTCGCGTCACTGCCACCACACAACCCAAATACTCGACAACCTGTGCCAACCACTTCAATGTGAAAACCTCATCACGTTAGCCACTGCGAAACTAGTGAAACCCATCCAAACCTCCCTCAAATTTCAATCGTATTGCTGGATTAGAGCGTTTTCCTCGTCACAACTCATTTCTTTCTCGTATTTTGTTGTTCTGTCTCTGTGTCTGCCAATAATTTGGCTCTACTAGTAACTCCCGTTGAAAACTTCAACGGGATTTCATATCTGAATCCCTATAGCGCGCAGTTCTGTTTGTTTGCAATTAATAGCGCTCTTGTTGTACCTCTTCTATCGTCACTAGAACCGTCATGTCGATTTGCATCTCTTAGTTACTCTCTTATCTCCCATCAACTATATCATCCCTTTCGATGTTAATGCATCTAATTTGTGCATCTTCTTCCCTTGCGTTCCTTCCTTTCCATGGCAGTGGATCACGACAGCAATTACAATTTGAAACGACGGTTAGTATTTCGTACCCTTAAACCTGTCATGCATATCCGTGTCATTCTGGCTACGCTTGATGTCTTCATGCAATTATATTTTATCTAACGTTGTCGTTCTTTAAAAGTATATAATCCTGCTTTTACTTGCGGTGCTTTTGTTTGATCGTAAGAATACCCTCAACAGAAATTGAAGAAAGGGCATGTCACTATCTTCACCCGTGCGTTTTTCGAGCATTTATTTCCCTTCACGCAATTCATGGTTAATTGTAATTTGCCAAATGGCAGGTACAGATAAAGACGAGTAATTGAAACTTTCATTCCAACCTACGTCGTCTTCTGTGGACTGCTGGATGAATAAGTTGCATACTAGTTGTTTCTGCATCACATTTGGTTAGGCATCAACTGAGGCATTCACTCATTAAAATTTCAATGTGATGTCTTGTGTTCAGGATAAAACATGATTGATACACTCTGGATTTGGAAGCAACCAAAAAATAATGCACATAGTGGTGCAAATATTGAAGGACGTTGAAGTTGGATGCATATGCGCGGTAGCCTGTTTTTTGGAACAGTGTAATAGTGTTTATAATGCATACGGGCTTTAAACTTGAAAATTTGTCTCTTGAGTGTCTCAAATCTCTCCCGAGGACAGTCCTGAATGTGCTGGTTGGATATGTCTCTAATGTGTCTCGAAAGACACTTTCGGGTCAGTTAGGCGTGACACTTTCAGGACATTTCACTTAGTCTCGAAAGTGTCTTTCAATACACTTTTCAACCTGTCCCCAAAGTATTCGAAATGAATATTCTGGGACATTTTCGAGACATTACAATTTGGTGATGGTGGCAGCATTGTATAGGCCCGTGCTGCACTCTGCTGTGACATGTGCAGCTGCAGCATCTGTTGTTGCATCTGCTGCTGTGATACCTGCAGCTGCAACACCTTTTGTTGCATCTGCTGTTGATCCATCTGTTGATCTTGCATCTGCTGCTGTGACATCTACTGCTGTCGTGCCTGTCGCTGCATCTGCTCTGGTTGCATCTGCTGCTGCTGCATCCACTACTCTTGAATCTGCTGGCCCGGAATGGCGTCTGCTGCTCTGTCATCCAATCGCTCAGCCAGCGGAACGCTACCGTTGGAGATGCTACTGGGGGCCTGAAAAAAATGGAGGACTGAGAAGGCTAAAAAAAAACAGAAGGTCTCCCAGGAGGGGAGAATAGAATAGTCACTCCATGCCGTCCCACGTGGTCTAGTTTTGAGGTTCCAACAAATATATGTACTAAACTTACCACTTGATAAACCCCTTTTTAATATATGAGTCTTCGGAGGATCCTCCGATTAGGCAGATGAAAGCTGCTTCTGTCTCCGTGCACCACTGTCAGTACAGCCAATTGAGGCTACTGGTAGTACCAGATGCGGTCCTCGAGTCTACTACTGAGTCTCAAGCAGCTGAGAGTCTCAAGCGGCAGTGGAATTAATTCAGGAGCTGGCAATTGCAGGTCTGAAATACTACATCACAATCTTCCGGTCTGGATTTCAGCTGGTTTCCAGCCAGAGTTCAAGACTCGCGGTGGAAATCTGACTGAAAACTAGGGTCGATTTCTGCCTGAACACATGGCACTAACGTGACTGGTTTTCTCGTGGATTGCAGGCCATATCATAGGATGGGTTCAGGGGTTCGGTTCAGCCTGCGCTCCAGCTGGTAACTGACCGAAATGGGTGTGGTGGTAACGCCACATTCCGCGTCGGAATCGCGCCTCGGGGCCAATAAATGTAATTATGTACACCATTCGGTTTTTGTATAATAGTTTCTATTAAATCTATGTTCGATATAAATATTTGTATTGTGCTGATTTCTCAATTCGGTTTACAATGGTTTTTTTATTGTTTTGCATATAATAGTTCAGCTGTTATTACTGTTGCTGTTGCTGTTATAATTGTTCTGCCCATATAATTATTAAAATCAGAACACAGAAACTAGTATTGCCCATATTACTGCTTTAAGGATCGGTGCATTTATTGCCATTCTTACTAACCAGAAATTCAAACAGGCAATAGTGCAGAGTAATCCGACGCATCAATACGGACCCCGTTTTCGAACACCCACTCGTTTGTTGTCGCATCATGCGTGACGCCCAGCACATTCACAGAGTGCTCCACCCAACGTCGAACCCTGATGCACGTTAGCTCGTACAACCTGCGGTTTTCACGCTGGTCCGTGCCCAGCTTGCCATCCCCTGCTGCCTCCAACAGTGGGTTCTCGAGCTAAACACAGGAACAAGGCGCAACAGCATTAACATGTTGATATTAAAACCTAACCGTTGGATATAATGAAAAAACACTTACTGAAAACAAGGCCAAAGCCACCATGCGTGTCTTCCACGCTGTGACATCGACGTGGCGCCTTCGAAACGCCTTGCTCATGGCGATCTCAAACAATTTCGTGGAGAATGGGCGCTGCGTGATCGGGTCAATATGCCATTTCAGCCCCCGCTCATCTGCCAGAGCATGTGACAGACGAGGGGACAGAGAAGGGGACAGAGCATGTGATAGAGGAGGTGAGAGCATGGGAAGGGACAGCGCAGGAGGGGAGAGCATGGGAGGAGACAGAGCATGAGGGGAGAGCAAGGGAGGGGACAGAGCAGGAGGGGAGAGCAAGGGAAGGACAGATCAGGAGGTAAAAGCGCGGGATGGGACAGAGCAGGAGGGGAGAGCACGGGAGTGGTCAGAGCAGGAGGGGACAGAGCATGTGACAGAGGAGGGGACAGAGCATGTGACAGAGGAGGGGACAGAGCATGTGACAGAGGAGGGGTCAGAATGTGACAGAGGAGGGGATAGAATGTGACAAAGGAGGGGACAGAATGTGACAGAGGAGGGGACAGAGCATGTGACAGAGGAGGGGACAGAGCATGTGACAGAGGAGGGGACAGAGCATGTGACAGAGGAGGGGACAGAGCATGTGACAGAGGAGGGGACAGAGCATGTGACAGAAGGAAGGGAGAGAGCATGTCACAGAGGAGGGGAGAGAGCATGTGACAGAGGAGGGGGGGAGAGAGCATGTGACAGAGAATGGGGGGAGAGAGCATGTGACGGAGGAGGGGGGGAGAGAGCATGTGACAGAGGAGGGGGGGAGAGAGCATGTGACAGAGGAGGGGGGGAGAGAGCATGTGACAAAGGAGGGGGGGGAGAGAGCATGTGACAGAGGAGGGGGGGAGAGAGCATGTGACAGAGGAGGGGGGGAGAGAGCAAGGGTTAGGAGCTCACCAGTCATGTTGTCCCGGACCAGTTCGGCATCGTTCCGATACACCGCCGGACGATCCAACTCCGCCGGGAGGGACATCACCTTCCCCTTGTTTTTCTCCTGCCCCAATGCAGTTAGAACCAATCGACGGAGTATTTTGCCAATTGCACACCAGGTATTGCTGCATGCTGTATAGAATGCCCCCTTTGTTGTTGGGCATTGTTGTTTCCACAGCAGTTGCAAGTGGGGCATGGTATCAGGGGACAGATACGTAGATAACCCAGCCATCGCCTCTTCACTCGACGGATACATCTGGATGTGACGAGCGTCGTTCAGCCAGAAGAACTCGGTGATGACACTCCGGCACTTCGCCTGCCAGAAAAAAAATGTATGAGTAGATGGAAGGGTGGGACAACACAAAATGTACGTGGTGGAGACCACTACGGGGCATGGCATGGTGAGTGCAGAGGAGCAGCGAGACAAGGCAGGAAGGGAGAGCACTGGAGGGGACAGAGCAGGAGAGGAGCGCACAGGAAGGGACAGAGCAGGAGTGGCAAATCAACGGGGAACAGAGCTGGTGGGAAGACTGCATGAGAGAATAGAGCATGAGAGGAAAGGGCAGCAAGGGTTTATACGCACCTTCCAGTCTCCAGCATCGACGATCACCATTTCCAGAGCGATTTGTCCTGCACTCTGACTTGGAGGGCGAGGAACGCCTGTTGTTGCGTCGCTGCCCTGCGACGCAAGTCCTTGAGCAGGAACCGCGACTCCTTGAGCCCTGAGGCTCTCAAACTGTTGGAGCATCTCCTTCCTAAGCACCGCAAACTCCGCTCGTGATACCCACTGCGTCTGCGCCACCCTGGTTGATACGGCAGCCAAAGCCGTGGGCCCTGGAGGCGGCGTCCTTACAGTAGTGGTATCCCTGGGCCTGAAAACTCCAGTAGATGCTGCTGCTGCTCCCACCCTCCCTCCAGTAGATGCCGCTGCTCCTCCGACCCTCCCTCTAGTCGATGCCGCTGCTCCTCCCACCCTCCCTCCAGTCGATGCCGCTGCTCCTCCCACCCTCCCTCCAGACGATGCCGCTGCTCCTCCCACCCTCCCTCCAGTCGATGCCGCCGCTCCTCCCACCCTCCCTCCAGTCGATGCCGCCGCTCCTCCCACCCTCCCTCCAGTCGATGCCGCTGCTGCTCCCACCCTCCCTCCAGTCGATGCCGCTGCTCCTCCCACCCTCCCTCCAGTCGATGCCGCTGCTCCTCCCACCCTCCCTCCAGTCGATGCCGCTGCTCCTCCCACCCTCCCTCCATTCGATGCCGCTGCTGCTCCCACCCTCCCTCCAGTCGATGCCGCTGCTCCTCCCACCCTCCCTCCAGTCGATGCTGCTGCTGCTCCCACCCTCCCTCCAGTCGATGCCGCTGCTGCTCCTCCCACCCTCACCCCAGTTGATGCTGCTGCTGCTCCCACCCTCCCTCTCGTTGACGCTGGTGCTGCTCCCACCCTCATCCCAGTTGATGCTGCTGCTGCTCCCACCCTCCCTCCCGCTGACGCTGCTCCTCCCACCCTCGCAACAGTCATACCCACAGAAGCTGCTGCTGCTCCCACTTGCATCGCACTAGTAGTTTCCCGCTAGGTGACCTGTAGCTGGGGCAACTTCCCTCCTCCCCCCCCAAGGTTGAATCGCTCGATGGTGGTTGGCGGACCCACACCAGAATTCTTCACCGCTGATTGGTGTAGGGTGAGAGCAAGATGGGACAGGTCAGGATGGGTTAGCGCATGAGGGGACAGGTCAGGACAGTTTAGGGAAGCTAGTTGGGAATATTCATGGGACAACGGGAGTATTGACAGAGACGGATGGGAAAAAGCAAGGCGGGTCAGAACGAAGGGTTACAGGGCTGGAGGGCAAAAAGTGGATGACTTACACTTTTTGGGCTTAGGTTTTGTCTTTGTCTTCCCCTCCGTTGCTTCACCTTTACCCTTTAGAAGGGGTTTAGTGCTAGCCTTCTTACTCCTGCGCTTCGTGGGTGGCTTCGCCGCCCGCCAATGCCCCTTTCACGATCTGCCCTCCTTGTTTATCCTTTGCTTCTCCGCCACGCCCATTACCGCACTGTTGCGTATCATCCGGTGCGGCCCCCAGAATCATAAACCGCCCTTTCTTCACCACTCGTGCAGCTTCTTCATCCTCATGCAGCGTCGACCCGCGGCTGAGTGCTTGTACGCGTGTCCGCCGCCCATTAGTTCTCTCCTCTGCACTAAAATTGGAGTAATCGGACAAGCCTTTGCCCACATTGTCGCCATTTGCCTGGACCCCATCCGCCTCCTCTCCTTCCGCCTCCTCGCCTTCCGCCTCCTCTCCAGCCCCATCTACAGCCCCTACGCTTTCCCCCTCTTCGCCTTTCCCCCTCTTCGCCTTCCCCCTCTTCGCCTTCCCCCTCTTCGCCTTTCGCCTCCTCTCCAGCCCCATCTACAGCCCCTACGCTTTCCCCCTCTTCGCCTTCCCCCTCCTCGCCTTCCCCCTCTTCGCCTTCCCCCTCCTCGCCTTCCCCCTCTTCGCCTTCCCCCTCCTCGCCTTCCCCCTCTTCGCCTTCCCCCTCTTCGCCTTCCCCCTCTTCGCCATCCCACTCCCCACCTTCCGCCCCTTCGCCTTCCGCCTCCTCGCCAACAGCTCCTACGCCTTCCGCCTCTCCGCCTTCCGCCCCTTCACCTTCCCCATCCTCGCCTTCCCCCTCCTCGCCTTCGTCCGCTTCGCCTTCGTCCGCTTCGCCTTTGTCCGCTTCGCCTTCGTCCGCTTCGCCTTCGTCCGCTTCGCCTTCGTCCGCGTCGCCTTCGTCCGCTTCGCTTTCGCCTGCTTCGCCTTCGTCCGATTCGCCTTCGTCCGCTTCGCCTTCGTCCGATTCGCCTTCGTCCGCTTCGTCGTCGTCCGCTTCCCCTTCGTCCGCTTCCCCTTCATCCGCTTCCCCTTCGTCCGCTTCGCCTCCGTCCGCTTTGCCTTTGTCCGCTTCACCAACCACCTTCTCGCCATACGTCTCGTCGTGATATGAACCATCATCATTCGCCACACCAAACACAGCCTGTTCACCGTGCGCCACATTATCGACCGCATAGCCGTTCAGATCGGCGGACGTTTCCGTACCGTCGTCATTCTCACCTAGAATGTCCGCGGTGAAGCCATCTGGGAGCTTGCGCCGTTCCTCGGTGGCGCATTGTGCTTTCTTACCACCTCTCTTTCGACGCCCACCGCCTTTTTTTGCGTTCGCCTGCTCTCCCGCCTGCTCACCCTTACGGCCTTGGGAGATGGTTGGCCGCAACATTGCTGAGATGCAAAGGGCTGTAAGTGAAGGCGTTTGTTAGTAGTCAAAGTTTTGAGCAAGTACTACAAGCTCGAACCAAAACATCGGTTATAAACAGTTCATGGTGCACCGCTCTTCGCACCTCAACGCTTGCGCTACGCTCGTATCGTGCCCGGCGTGACAGCATCCCGACCACCACGGCTCGCAGATCGATGAATACGAGGGACGTGGGAGACATGAAGCCGCCACGAGAGACACGTACAGCACCGTCGGAAGGTTGACAATCGGTGGTGAGGCAAGTTACGTGCATCAGACAGAGGCGCGATAGCCATCTGCAGAAAACGAAGGCGACCAAAGAGGGTTGCACTGGACATCCTGCACTGGACGTGCGCTCGGTAAGACTAAAAGAGAGAATCACCAATGCTGCATATCTGCTGGTGGGGTCCGTCATGTCGCGACTCGAGATGCTGTTCCTCTCACAAACGAGGCGACGCATACTCCCTCTCAAGCGGTAGGATGTAAGTGGTTCGAAGTGAAGAACCGTGCAGCGCTTGTGATTGTAAGGACGCAAGTCTTATGGCAAAAAATGTCTAAGGTCGACCCTATTACCGCGTTCTACCGTGGCAAAACGTCTCTTAAATACATCTTACCGTGCACAACCACTCTAGAAGTGCAAAATTTGGCCAAACTACGACCTCAAGGCCACTCGCCCTAAGTGCATGCACATGTTCTTGCTAATGGCTCGCTTTCTGGTGAGTGTCGCTGTAAAAAAAGGAAAGGCCTCCATTGGTCCCTGAAATCTACAGTGACCGGTGATGACGGCCATAGATAGGGGGATGGCGTTGAAGATCAGTAACAACCCTAAATATAGATGTACAAAATGGTAGGCTTATATAGATTACATTACAGAAGGTCTCTCTCAAAGACGCCGTACTGAAAGCCACAGATTTGGTCAAGTGTTGGAAATTGTACGTGTGTTTGTTTTAGGATAGTCATAGCTATACATTGCATTAATACTGCTGAATCATGCACAAATATGCACATGGGATTGGTTTATGTCTCCAAACGCGCTCATATTTCGATGTCTTCTAGGGCTCATAAACACTTTGGTTGAGGTATAAATCTTCATTCAAGTGTCTCTACTATTTCCCCTAGTCCTCCTCTATTGTTTTGTAAAGAAAAGCTTATTTCCCTGAATTTTACAAGAACCGCCGTAACAAGCTATACAAACGAAGCTTCTAGCACTCAAACTCTCATTCTCTGGCCATCACAGTTTGTGTCATCTCCATCATTTGTGTTTATAATCAATGGAACCACGTGCTGCCTCTGTGACCTAGTAAGGTGCCAGGCTGTCAACATAGTTTTGGTTGTTTCACAGGCCATCATCATATATACCCATAAACAACGCCCCTGATCTCTTAACCAACTCACTACCCATATGCAATGAGCTCCTCATACAAACCTCAGAGCGTTCAGAGAAGCGGAACACAGTGGCGTGAAGGCAAGCGTCAAGGCAAGTGTCATGGTTGAAAAAACAGCCCCATTGCACTTGATGCACCGGCTTGAGTTACAATGCTAGAGTGATTGGATGGGCCTGATATCTTAACCAACTTTCTCCCCATATGCCATGAGCTCCTCACACCAATCTCAGAGCCGTCAGAGAAGCGGAACACAGTGGCGTGAAGGCAAGCGTCAAGGTTGAAAAAACAGCCCCATTGCACTTGATGCACCGGCTGGAGTTACAATGCTAGAGTGATTGGATGGGCCTGATATCTCAAATAACTCTCTCCCCATATGACATGAGCTCCTCAAACCAATCTCGGAGCCGTCAGAGAAGCGGAACACAGTGGCGTGAAGGCAAGCGTCAAGGCATGTGTCATGGTTGAAAAAACAGCCGCATTGCACTTGATGCACCGGCTTGCGTTACAATGCTAGAGTGATTGGATGGGCCTGATATCTTAACCAACTCTCTCCCCATATGCCATGAGCTCCTCACACCAATCTCAGAGCCGTCAGAGAAGCGGAACACAGTGGCGTGAAGGCAAGCGTCAAGGCAAGTGTCATGGTTGAAAAAACAGCCCCATTGCACTTGATGCACCGGCTTGAGTTACAATGCTAGAGTGATTGGATGGGCCTGATATCTTAACCAACTCTCTCCCCATATGCCATGAGCTCCTCAAACCAATCTCAGAGCCATCAGAGAAGCGGAACACAGTGGCGTGAAGGCAAGCGTCAAGGCATGTGTCATGGTTGAAAAAACAGCCGCATTGCACTTGATGCACCGGCTTGAGTTACAATGCTAGAGTGATTGGATGGGCCTGATATCTTAACCAACTCTCTCCCCATATGCCATGAGCTCCTCACACCAATCTCAGAGCCGTCAGAGAAGCGGAACATAGTGGCGTGAAGGCAAGCGGCAAGGCAAGTGTCATGGTTGAAAAAACAGCCCCATTGCACTTGATGCACCGGCTTGATTTACAATGCTAGAGTGATTGGATGGGCCTGATATCTTAACCAACTTTCTCCCCATATGCCATGAGCTCCTCACACCAATCTCAGAGCCGTCAGAGAAGCGGAACACAGTGGCGTGAAGGCAAGCGTCAAGGCATCTTTTGCTTGAGCGTACACTTCTCCAATCCATTTCGTAATAATATAGTACCCTTTCTGGTTTGGACATTTGTTTTGTGCATGATTTATACCAAGATAATGTTTAGACTAAGTTCACTGCACTACACTGCTCCTCGACCTTTCGCCTCCACCTCGACAACACTCTAGTATCAGATACGTGTCCTAGATCTCGGCATTGCGTTTGCGCTCGTTCTTCAAAACTTTGCCAGTTCAAACTGCTGTCGCGTCACCTCTGGTTTTCGTTTCACCTTTTCTACTACGTACTGATCTATCCACCACTACTGGCAACGCCTTGTACAAAGCTCCATAACTCCAGTCATATCGTCAGTCCTCTCGCCTAATGTCTGACACATAGCGATTTCGTCACCACCTGTAGTCATGACACGCCATGAGTGGATTTCGTGCCGGTTTTGCACCAACCAGTTCAAGGACGCTAAGGCTTTTGGACAGCACAAGGGGAGGTCCAGCTATCGCTTAAAGTATGCCGCTGGAACTGCTGCAACTGAAACGGTGGCTGGGCAACATGTCTTCATGGTGGCGGATGCTCCGCCTCCGACCAACACCAATACTGAGCCACGTCTGGAGCCTAGTGACGCGGACGAGCCAGCGACCTCGGCTATTGGATCCGACGCGAGCAGCTCTGACACCTCTGCTTGCGGGTCTAACCCGCAACCGCTTTCATTCGAAAATCTGAATGGCGAGGACAACACTGCGACCAGCAATGCTTCAGCACCTCCGATTTCCGTTGTTGCACAGTCCCAGGCCCCATTCCCCACGGATCCTTTAGTATTGCGCTTCATCCATCTGGTCCGCCTCACCAATGGGAAGATGGGCATGGCGGAAGTCGATATTAATGGGATACTGCAGCTGTTGATGTATCTAGAGCTCGCGGAGCTGGTGTTGGCGAAGTTCAAAAACTGCCGGAAGCTCAAGCGCTTTGAAATCGAAGAGCTCGCTGGCCTGGGCCGTGGGTGGAGCATGGCAACCTACGAAGTGGACGACTTTGATGAACAGACGTTGTTTTTCCGAGATCCGGCGCAGGTGACTTCCCCCTTGCATGCCCATCTCGATGTTGCTCTGCTCCTCTGCTGTTTTGCTCCTCTACATTTCCAATCTCCTGCTGTTCCAATCCTCTCCTGTTCCGCTCCTCTCCTGTTCCGCTCCTTTGCTGTTCCGCTCCTCTGCTGTTCCGCTCCTCTCCTGTTCCGCTCCTCTCCTGTTCCGCTCCTCTCCTATTCCGCTTCTCTCCTGTTCCACTCCTCTCCTGTTCCGCTCCTCTCCTGTTCCGCTCCTCTTCTGTTCCGCTCCTCTCCTGTTCCGCTCCTCTCCTGTTCCGCTCCTCTCCTGTTCCGCTCCTCTCGTGTTCCGCTCCTCTCCTGTTCTGCTCCTCTCCTGTTCCGCTCCTCTCCTGTTCCGCTCCTCTCCTGTTCCGCTCCTCTCCTGTTCCGCTCCTCTCGTGTTCCGCTCCTCTCCTGTTCCGCTCCTCTCCTGTTCCGCTCCTCTCCTGTTCCGCTCCTCTGCTGTTCCGCTCCTCTGCTGTTCTGCTCCTCAGCTGTTCCGCTCCTCCCCTGTTCCGCTCCTCTGCTGTTCCGCTCCTCTGCTGTTCCGCTCCTCTGCTGTTCTGCTCCTTTGCTGTTCTACTCCTCTGCTATTCGGGACCTCTGCTGCTCATCTATTCTTCCGTTCCGCCCCTATGCGCCATGTAATCGCAGGCCTTGGCGGACATGTTTGGAGACCCAGCCAATGCACCCGGCTTTGTGCTGAAGCCACGCATGGACACTGACCCTGAAACCGGCCAGCGACGCTACTCCACCCCAGAGACGGGCACATGGTGGCATAATGCCCAGGTATGCCGCATCTGCGCACCTGCAACTAACACCTCATGACTTCGTTATTCACCTGTTCTTGCCTACGTGCCTTGTTGATTCCATGCCTGTCATATTTCCTCACCTGCAAGTCACCTCTCTGTGTCTTGTCTAGTCAAACATTACCCTTGTAGCACGCTGTCACCTCATACTTGCGTCACTCACATGCTCTTGATTCCATGCCTTGTGTATTCCAGCCCTATACTCCATTCTCACACACACCTCTCACCTGACAATCCTATTACTCGCCTGCTATTGCCTACACTCGTGTAATCTAGGCCTGTCCTTCCATCTCAACCCAACATCATCCTTGCATTACTCAACTGCTTTCGCCTGCTTTTTGGTTGGAGGCTGACAATCCCCCTCTATTCGACCCTATATGCAATTGCAGGATCATGTGGGAGAAGGTGAGTTAGTTGCGCCATTATGCTCTACAGCGACGTGACGCACCTGAGCGAAAACGGGCGCAAATTGGCTTGGCCTGTTATGATGACATTGGGGAACATCCGGTAGGGCAAGTGCTGGGCATCGTCTGGGCATTGTCTGCTCGGAACTCTCCCTATCCCCCCCACTACCATGTCACCCGGTCAAAAAACTGCCCTTTTCCAACAAGCCGCATTGACCATGCTTGAAAAGCTCCTTGCGGGGCGAGAAAGGTGATCATTGTTTAATAATTAGTGTTACACTAAAATGTCTACCCACTGGCTCCCACTCTGCCATTCCGGCGCCCAATTATGACGTGGTA